ATGGATCGGTAGGAGTCGGGGGACGCCTGAGGTCCGCTCCTTTTCCACATCTCATGAAGCAAACCCCCCCTCCACTGCAGGGGCTGGTGAAAGAAGGCCGCCGCTTTGACCATCAGGGGATGTGCCAACTTGGCCATCTTTGTCGGCGCCGCCGCCAATATTTCAGGCGGTACGCCGTCAAGCCCCGGTGCTTTGCGTCGGCTGGTGGATCGGAAGACATTTTCCACCTCAAAGAAGGAGGGAAGGTCATGGACAGACCACTTCAAATCATCATCTACATTGGGCAGCCGGGTATCTCTCTCCAAAAGGTCGGCAATGGACACAACCGCACCAAACTCCTGCTTGCCGAAGTGTTGTTGCCAAACTTTGTCCCGGTCCTTCCACGTTTCCGTAGCCTTTCCGTTCTCGTCCAGGAGGATAGGCAGGGGCCGGACAAAATCCTTGGCGGACTTACCCCCGAGCCCCAACTTCTTAGCGGTCTTCAAGATGTCCCCGGCCTTGTCGCCCACCGTAGTCGCGAGCCCCTTGAGAAAGTCCGCCTTCTCCTTGTAGATGTTCTTCTTGATCCGCATGGTGGCGAAACGCACAGCCGCTGAGACCACTTCGTAGAGCAGACCATGGCGGCCAATCAAGGCCTCGACTTCATAATCTTCCTGGCATCGCCATTGCCAGAAAGCTCTCACCATCAGGTCAGACCACAACTTCGATCTTCCTCGTGAACACGACTTAAGCCACAGTTTCCTCTCGCGAATTCCCCAAGTCTCATCAGAGATGTATTGGGCTCGTGGCCCGTGGCTGGCCTTGTTGAAAAGGCGCTGCATGGTAGCATGGAGGAAGTCTTGTAGATGTTGACAGTGATCGCTGGGGTGCATCTCCCAACTCGGCTGCTTGTAGCTCTGGAGCGCTTCATTCAAGAGCTGCTTGCCCTCAGTAGTCAGGATCTTCTCCGTGTCATAGACCGGCCTCCAGACCCTTCCACTGCGTTCTCCTCCACCTTCTCCCGGTAGAAGGCCCTTGACATCCAGGCAAACCGGGTAGTGGTCATCGTTGGCATTCATCGTGTCAAAGTGGTGCTCCACCCAGCTTCTGAGGCCAAAGGTTTCGGCAGCACCACCTAAGACAATGTAGTCAATCCGGTGGTCCGCTCCGTTGGCCTGGCGATACGTGACACTTTCGCCCACATGGAGTCTCCGGAAAGTGGAGGGGAACCACAGGTGTGCCGCCCTCGCAAGCCCCAAGGCCGCCGGCCGGTCGAAGGCCACACTGGCCACCTCAGTTGGATCCCTGTCTCTCTGCCTGCTGATGAGGTGGAGATGCTGTTCCAACTCACTCTGAAAGCCAATGTACTTGCCATCTGCATGCGGTGGGTGGTCCGTGCTGGGTCGCCATCTGTCTGGATCCATGTAGCGATCCCTGATGGGAGATGGCCAATCAACCACCGCCCCCCTTTGTAGCAACTTCACCACTCCGCAGTGTTGGCCTGGGACAGTGTCTTCCCCTAACAGGGGATGGAGGGCGCCGAAGGGAAAAACATCAATGTCCTCCTCCATGCAATCCACACGTCTGAGAATTGCGAAGCGCGTCACTGGCCCCTCAAAGTAGGTGGCGAAGAGCTCGCCTCCCACAGCCGTGCCATCGATGAGGATGACGATCCGCTCCGATCCATCCAGCCACCTAGGCAAAATGAGAACTGTCCCGAAATCCTCATGGATCTGCTGCTCCGTAAACACAGCCTCATCCATCCATTCCCTGTCCAAGACATGGGCCGATTCCAGGATGAACTCCAGAAGCCTGTCTTCATTCAGCGGGAACTCCATAGCGAGGTCCAGTGACTCACTCTCAAAGGCAGGCGACAGCAGACGAAAGGAGATGTGATGGGTCACCTCGCCGTTAGGGTCCACCCACTGCCACTGTTCATCCGGGTCTCCAGGAACGTCATGTACATCTGGCGGAGGATGTGGCTCTACAACAGGCGGACCATCCGCATGCACCCTGCTTGGAAAGACTCCTCCACTATGCAGAGGAGCCTCCAGTACTGCTCTCTGCTCCGCTGCAGCCAACTGCTCCCTCATTGTCGTAAGACCAGCGCCCCAAAGCTCGATCTCAGAAGGACTTGAGATGCAACGTCTCGCATCATGGCCCCGCACCGGAGCCGCCGCAACTTGCTGCTGGTATGCAACGAAGGCCAGCAAAGGCAATACCCAGCTGGCATGCCCACGCACAGGCTGAGTGCCAGCGAGAGGGCGCTTCCAAAGCCCCTGCAGAAAAAGTGTGCCTCCCAAAATGGAAAGGCAGATGACCTGTAAGGTTGCCATGCAACCCGCCCAAAAGGGTGCAGTCTCCGCTGCAAGCCCAAGGAACACATCACCAAGGAAGGTCCAAAAACTGTCCATCACATCCATGATGTCATAATACCTGATTGCATCCGCGCTCAGGGTCTCCTCCTGGAACTCCTCATCAAAGGAGGTCCAACAACTGTTCATCACATCCATGATGTCATAATACCTGGTGGCCTCCACGCTCCAGGTCCCGTATTGGGCGGACACTCCGAAAAAGCCGCACTCAACCTGATAATCCCCTTCAGGTAGTCCAGGGTCATGCCGAAAAAGCCCTGTTATACGATCGCCTTGCTCCTGGCCCGTGTCGACCGTCACTCGACAGGCACATCCGCGTCGGCCTGGGCACCCAAGCTCGCCACCATCACCTCCTCGTCCGAGAGGTCCAAGCTTTCCGTGGCGGCATTTCGCTTCGCCTCCAACTTCTTCGCCAGTGCACTCCCCGGAGCGGGCCTCGGCAAAGGCGCCCTTCCAATGGCCTTCAGGGGCATACGCTGCATCCTGGCTCTTCCCGTAGATGGGGGCGAAGCAGCCACACTCCGGCGGCGGGAAGGGGTCGTTCATTGCCGTCTGCTCCTCCGCGATAGGTGGGATCCCACCTGTCTTGGTCGCCTCTGCGAGCATATCCTCCAGCATGGGCGCTGACGTAGTCCTGGGGGGGGCATTCGTCGGGGGAGGCGTTCTCTGGGTTCCCATGGTGGTGCGTGGCCTCTGAGGTGTAACCGGAGCCGCTGCCATCATAGCATGGAGCCGAGCTCCCATCGAGGCAGCCAGAGACTGCGCCAGGGTCTCGTCCGATGTCTCCTCGCAAGCCTTCATCAAGTTGTTCCACTCCGAGACGCCCTCTCCATCCGCCATAGGCTCGTCCTCTTCCTGCAGGAGCTTGTCGGGGTTCGCTATGGCCTCCTGCAGGGCTCTGAAAGCCACGATCTGCGCATCCTGGTTGTCCTGCATGTCCTGCTCGATCCTCTCGACATCCCGGCGGTAGTTTGCCCGTTCTTTGACAAAGGTGGCCTGCATTTCTTCCTGGAACTTCTTCCAGGCCTTTTCCGCTGCTTCTTTCTCCTCCACCGACTTCCTCATTCTGATCTCCGCCTTTCTTGCGACTGTCAGAAGTTTCTGGTAGCCCTTGGCGAGCGGCTGCTGCTGCAGCCCCTCCTGCCGAGAAGACGCAGCCGGAGGCTCTGGTCCCTCCGACGCACTGTACGACGGGAAAGCGGGGTCTTCCCGCACCTGGCTCCTCTGCCCAGTGGGCCACCGCCATTGCGACGATTGCCCCTGCTGCCACGTGGATCTTCCACCCTTGGCCCGTTGATCTCCTCCTCCGCGTGGGCCGCTCTTGCTCTTCTGCTCGGCTTTCCATGGAACACGCTCTTGGCCTCCCCAGCCCATGAGCTCCCTGTAAGCCGGGGCGCTGTGGTGTCCAGCAAGGAGACGTAGGCTCCTGCACGAAGGCCGTGTCCCAAAACGCCGGCAGCGGTGGATGTGGGCCCGAGCTCTGCTGCGCCGGCGGCGAGCAGCGCGATGCCAAGTCGGAGATCTTGCTATGGCTCCCTGCCACGGCACGCGTGCCTACAAAGATGGCACTGGGGTTACCGGCTATTTCGGTAGTCCTTGCCACCGACTCGATCCAGAACCCTACATACATACATACATACATACATACATACATACATACATACATACATACATACATGCATAAGACAGACAGACAGACAGACAGACAGACAGACAGACAGACAGACAGACAGACAGACAGGCAGGCAGGCAGACAGACAGACAGACAGACAGACAGACAGACAGACCTACTACACACATACATACATACATACATACATACATACATACATACATACATACATACATACATGCACACATACATACATACATACATATGTATAGACGTGAATTCATCCGCACATGGATTCCGACCTACCTACCTATATACCTACCGACCCACCCACCTATCTACCTACCAGTCATGGAGTCATGCATCCATGCATTTATGCATACATGCACACCAGCATACATGCATATATATATATATACACACACATATACTCAGCAGTCTCTTGTGCGACTCAGGTTACGGACTCTCATGCCTCCACTGCTCTACTTGTCGTTTGACATCGCCATACCACTACTCCTACTTCTTCGAAAATCGAGGCTGCTGCTGATGCACCCTTGCTCCGATCCCCCCCAAAAAAAACAAAAAAACAGGTCGGCTTGCAAGATCACACCCACACTCCAAAGGTCGGACCTTGGAGCACGATGTACGAGGACGGCAGGGAATGTTTGGTATGCAGGGCAATATCCAAACTCTCAGGCTCTTATAACTGGCACTACATACCTACTTACTCACACCTGCCCACTTACATACCTGCCTACGTATATAGATACATAGATACATAAGCACATACATGCATAGCATGCATGCATAGCATGCATGCATTCATGCGTTCAGGTATTCATGCGTTCATGCAGACTTGCAGCTGGGTGTGCCTCATTGTTCAATTGCGCATGCTCTCAAGAACAAGCGAGCTCAGATTCTTGGCATCCTGACCCGGAGGTGCAGACTCAACAAACGAATCCTACACACATGGACTTGCAGCTCGTTTCAACATCGCAAGCTCTTCAAGTACCAATTTCAGAGGTGCAGCGGATTTAGCAGAAGGAAGGCAGCAACCCACAAACACCTGCTCGAAGCAGAACCTCGAAGCCAAAAGCTCTGAAAATCATCCCATCTCCTTTTGGGTGCCCTGGCGCCGGGGAGTAGTCGCCCTGCAAGGCTTCCGGAGCCAAGTATCCTGGTCTTTGGGCAGACGGCCGCTGAAGTGAGGTCATGCATCTATTTCCTGCGGTTAAGGCACCCAGAGTGCCCACGATATGCCTCGCTCGTGGACTTTTCGGCTCGTACCTGAGGATGCAGCTACGCTGCCGGGTCCCTATGCCAAGCTCATACATCGACTCCTAGCATTGGGAGTAGCCACAGCTGGGCCCAGTGACTCCTGGCATGTGTCGAAGTCGATCAACTTCACGGCCCTGCCAGCAATGGGTTTCATCTTCGCTGAAGCCCAATGCGAACCAATTCGACTCAACACATCTTGTCAGAACTGCAAGACATCTTGGATCCACAGCACCTTCCGGGCATACCTGCTAAGCCCTCGGAGGTGTCTACGAAGCAGGGGCGGGCAGCAATCCTCCCCAAGCCCGGAAGAAGCAGCAGCCCCGTATACCGCTACATTCGGCTCCCCCGGCTTCTTGCTCGCCGGCGTCTTTGGTGAGGCGGGCTCGTTGGAGGTGTCGTGGAACATGATGTTTTCTGGCCTTGGTAAGACTTGAGAGTGGATGGCCGCTGCAAGTTTTTCAGCATGGGCTTTGAAGGAGAGGTGTCTAGCGACCTCGCGGCTCTGCAAAAAGAAGGAAGGCCCAGGGTTTCTGTGTACCTTTGGAGGGGAACCAGGCATCCGAAGATCTGAAGGATCCCTGAAAGCGACCCACACTGCACAACCATCCCCTTGCAAGCTGAGAGTCTTGATGTCCCGGTGGATGAGACCCCTGATGCACGGCTGCGATCTAGATTCGGGAGGAGCTTACACTTCCGGCACAACCATATGGGCAGTTCTCTAAATTAGGGTCCCTTTGGTCCCTTTTTAGATAACCAATATAGTACGGCACCCTTGTAAAAAGGACCCTAAAAGGGACCCCTAATTTTGAAAACTACCCATATGAGACCGCATTCGCAGCAATTGCGCTCACGGTTGTAGTCTCGAACGGGCGCGAAGTCCTCTGACAGGATGCATTTTAGACTACAGTACACCTCGTGGACAGCGTGACGCAACACACTCTTGCGGCCTCGAGTGGATGTGGTCAACAGCTTCGAGAATCTCGCGCATGATGCGCTTGCACTCGCGCTCTGGCACATCCTGAAACAGTTGGGGCTTCGAGATGGTGGCAGAGTGCCTGAAACATGTGAGGCCAAAATCATGTCACGCGCACCAGCAAACTTCCCGAAGGCATGCAGCCGGGAAAGAAGTCTATCTCGATCATTTTTCACTGAGACCTTTCGATCAACTCTCTTTCTTCCCGTTTTGACCTAAAGCGTTTATAAGAGAACATCCCTAATCCTTAACCCTTCTGACCACTGTACATCTTTGAATTTTGCTATGTCACTTTGAAACCTTCCAACTTTCTGACTGTATTCGTTTATCTCAACCGTGAACCCTCCAACTGCCCAAGAGTTAAAGATCAAGGTCCACACTGTCTCCGTTTGTAGGAAATCGAAGAGCTCACCCCCACTGCAGCGTACCTCTCTGCATATTCCGTGCAGCTCCCAAACAAGGGTTTAGGGTTTAGGGTTAAGTCTTGGATTTGCGGTTTCGGACTTAAGCAGCCAGAGGAGAGCTTGAGAGCTTGAAATTCATTAGGAGCTTCGATGGGGGCAGCGAGCTTCGCTGTTCGTTTTGCACGGACACTGCAGACAAAAACCCTAAGGCTCTAAGGCTTGAGAAACTAATGAAGCGCTGCTTAGCGGTAGCATGCAGACTCAGACTCGGAGTGAAAGACGGACGAGCCCTGTGACGGGCACCATGACGATGTAGTAGCTGCCGTCATCCTGGATGACCTTGGCCGGGCATTTCGCTCACCTCCCTGACATCTGCGCGGAACTTCATGCTCACCCAGATGGGGGTTTCAGAAAATAGGGGACCCTAATATAGCACCCTAAATAGTAGGATAAGGACCCCCCTATTGTCGGAAACTCCCAGATGAGTTTGAGAAACTCGGGAAGCTGGCGTCACGCAGGCCTAGGACGTTCTGATGGCCCTCGAGGTTCAGCCTTGGACGGGACTTGGAACTTTCGGTGAGCAAGTCGGTATATGGGAGTTTCGGAAAATTAGGGGTACCGTATTCTGGGGTCCTTATAATAAGGATCCTATTATTTAGGGTGCTATATTAAGGTCCCCTATTTTCGGAAACCCCCATATGGCACTGGCGCAAGGGCTATTCAGCGATAAATGCTTGCCATTAAAATCCAAAATGCATCAGTATGAAGAACGACACGTCGCTAGGATTTCGACGACTACAAACAGCGGAGTGAAGTGGATTAGCAGGGCGCTGGCACAGTTGTACACGTCTGTCTGGCTAATCTGTTGAACTACCTACCTACCCACCTACCTGCCTGCTTATCTATCTAATCTATCCATCTATCCCTCTATCCCTCTATCCCTCTATCCATCTAGCTAGCCAGCTGACTAGTTGGGTAGCTGATGTTAGCTGGACAGCTGGCGAGCTTGCGAACCATCCACCTGCTGAGCTCTCTACGCACCTATCTGCCTAGCGACCTAGCTACTATCTCTTTGACTATCCATCCATCAAGCTATCTATCTACCTATCTATCGATCTATCTAAGAATCTACCTGTCTCTTTATGTATATATACACATATATGCATCCACTCTAGGTGTCTCATCTATCTACCGATCGACCTATCTACCAAGCCACCTAGCTGCCTCTCTATCTATCTGTCTATCTATCCATCTATCTGCCTACCTATTTGCGTCTAACCAAAATGTCTTCTCTATCTACCGACTGATCTACTTTTCCATCTACCTATCCATCTACGTGATAGTTATATGAAAGCTATATGTACTTGCATGTATGTCTGTATGTTTTTGTTCCCTTAAGCCAATCGACACTAAAACAAGCTCAAACTATGCAAAAGAGCATCTGCATGACGACACTTCTAGCAGCTGCCGGCAATTACCTGCCACTGCTTCAGTCACGACTCAAAGAACGTATCCGTAGAACCTAGCAAGCATGACAGCCATCTACACCGTGCATCAGAGGAGCATCCGCGTAAGGAGTGACTGCCAGACCTCGTCGCATGCTCAGGCTCAGTCTGTTCACCGACGTGGCTTTTGCAGCTGAAAAGATTGACACTTGAACATCATTTCTGGCTCCACGGCTTAACCACGACATGGGTTCCTTCGCCCCTGATATCTCACCTAGAGTGGGGGGGGACGCTGGGTGCCAGTTGCAGCAAGCTCATGCGTGCTATTCGACAAACATTGACATGGATCACATTGGAAACAGGAACCGTTTTCAACAATGGACATCCTGATTTATCGATCATGTCATTGCTGTACATGAAGCTCTGGTGTGCCTCACGAGTCACATGCCAGAGCACTCAGCACGAGTTGCTTTGCAAAAACCTGCACTGTAACGGCCGCAACACGACCAAAGATGTCTGCCAGCTACAAACTCCTGTCTCCCTGCCCCCCTATCCCCCGAAAAAAATGATACAAATCCCGATCGTTTGACCACAGCAAGAGCACTCTGAACATCCCTTCTCGAAAAGAAAGCCAGTTCAAACCCCAGCACGTTCGAGGCTTCGGCCACCTCCCCATTCGGGGCGAACCGCCTGTGGGCTGCACAGTCGTCACGAAAAAGCAGTAGGAAATCGGGGGGGAATGGTTGGCCCAGCGGTCCTAGCATGTCTTCCGCGTCAGCTTCGACAAGGAGACATGCAACTGAAGCTACGTACCTCTGTGAAGCTGCTTCCGTAGATCCCTCAGGTTCTGTTGCAACACATGTCCTCAATATCGAGACAAAAGCCAGATCACCCTCCACGAAAGCGACAAATGTATCATTATCGCAAGACCCTCGGCTGGCCTGGAGCGCACCTTCACAATCCTTAGCGACCCGTGACGACTTGCTGCTGACGAATCTTGCATGGAGCAGTCGTGAATCCTCGAACCTCGTCCCTGCAAGCCGAAAGAGAGGCAGGCGGATGAAACCCGGGTGCCCTCATATTCATCGCCTACAGGGCCACACCACGCGATTGCCCCCTTCAACAGAATTCGCCTGTACCACAGCCTTACTGCTGCACACTTCCGGAACAGCTTCCCGCAGGACTGATGGACAGATGCGGCCGCTTCGACCCAGGTGCTGCATCCGAGCTGAGCTCGAGAGACTGCTCTGAAGTCCCTTCATGCCTCCGCAGAAACCCACTGAAACCCCCCAAAGCACTTCTGCAGACCAGTGGGCAGGTCCTGGCCGGTGGACTTGCAAGTGGCCTTCCAGACCTGCGTGTTGCCTCGGCTTCATGCGGCCCCTCATGGGAACTCATGGGGGCAACTGCAAAGGAGGGGTGTAGGGGTTTAGGGGTTTGGGGAGCTCATGGAGGGCAACTGCAAGGGATCTGCTCTCGAAGTCTCCAAGTTTGACGGCACCAAAGCACTCGGGATCCCGCCACCTCCTGCTTCGTGCAGACACTGAAGAAAGTCGTACTCATCCTGCGGAACCGTGGGCTCTCGTGGCTTCTTGGAGTCATACTTTTGGGGACGCCAGCTTGGACTGCAACTGCAATGACCACACTGAGCCAGTAAAACAGATAATCTGCATTTACTTGCACCTGACAAGTCTTCTCTGCGGTGCTCCTTGATGGTCTGGCCAGGTGGCAGAATCCTGAAGACGCCACGGGCCAGCTGTTGAGGGTATCAGGGGCATTGCTTGCTGAAACAAGGCTTGCGTTCAGGATCGAGCTTAAGGGGAAACACTCAGACCCTCCTGACCCTGACCACCTTATTGCTTAGCATCGGTGGATAGGACCATGCCTAATCGTCCGCGTGCCCGCGACATCGACTGGCCCTGCCTGAAGAAGCATGTCTTTCTGCTGGGTGCACACGTAGGCTCATCGGGGCTTATTCAAAGACAGCTTGACCCTCAAAGACATGGCTGGCATCCCTCGGCCAGAACTCCCAAACCTTGAGAGGTGCAACCCGCGAACCATGATGCAAGGCTCTATATATAAACATGGCTGCCAGTCACAAAGCTCTGAGGCCCTGTCCTTTGCCACCTGCAGAGTTTGGAAGGCACCGGCACGGCGCTCGGCCAAGGACTTTCCTCTCAGGCGCACGGCTTTGCTCAGACGGACGGGCGGAGTGCGGAACCTCCTGAGCCTCTTGGAGCGTTTTTCCAATCGTGTGGAATTTAATTCGGGAGCTGACAGGGAAAGCCAACGCATCTAGGATGGACGTCACGATCATGTGCACCCAAGCAGCTTTCTTTTGTTTCTCAAAATGCGTTGGTTCGCTGTTTTTCTCTGCAATACTGCAATACTGTACTCTGTTCCCTTTCGACCGGTTTGATCCTGTTTTCAATCCTGCTTTCAACGTCCTTGTCGAGCGATTGCGGTCTGCTCATGGTTTTCACATGGTCCAGTCTTGTTCTAATGATTTGCCCCTTCTTCTTAATCGCTCTCGTCCCTTTCGAACGGTCTGCTCCTGTTTCTCAAACGCTGGAATCCCTTTCGGGCGGTTTGTGCCATTGTCTGTGTTGCCCTGATCCCCATCTAGTGGCTAGCTCCGCTGTGTCAAATTATGGTCTTTTTCTGCGTCCCTTTCGAGCTTGTGGTTCCTTTTGCTGAAATGCCCTCGTTCCTTTCCAGCGGTTTGCTCCTGTGATTGAAATGCTCTAGTCACTCTAGTCCCTCACGAGCTGTTTCAAGATTCGATGACTTTTTCTCAAGTGCACTGGTGCTGGCTTTTTCTCAAGTGCACTGGTCCTTTTCGAGCGGTTTGCTCCTTTCTCTCACATGCTCTGGTCCTCCTTTCTCTCAAATGCTGTGGTCCCGTTCGAGTGGCTTGCTCCTGCTTATTCAATGCTTCGGTGCGTTCCTTTCGTCACATACTCCAGCTCCTTCGAGCGATTGCGATTTGCTATTGGTTTTCAATTGGCCAACCCTTTCGAAGGGTTTATTCCCTATTCTCGAATGTTTTTTGTTCCCTTTCGGGTGGTTGGCTCGTTTTTCTCAAATACCTTAAAACCCTTTCGAACGGCTGGCTCTTGTTGCTACACTTCCCTAGCCCCAGTCCTTCTTGAGCGGTGTGCCATTT